TGCTTCTTTTTATTTGATCCGTGGAGTAGGAAACTAGGACTACTGTGAGAACGAGCAAAGAACTACTCATCCGGTAAACCTTGTTTGGAGGAAAGATGAAAGGTCATTTAAAGTACTTACTGTTGATGAGTTCCTAATAAGCTGCTTCCTCTGCAAAAGTGAGGGAGAGGTGAAACTTTCGTACTTGTCTGGCCTTATTTGAGCACAAAGCACACTAAAAGCCCTTCATTAGAACCCTGCTGTGTGAACAAAGCTTATCAACCTGATCCCTTCTGCCTTTTCCTTTAGGCCACATTGAAAAAAAAGAACAACGTTATCTCAAAAACAAACAAAAAACACCTTCAAAACCCAAACCAAACTCACTGCCATTGAGCGGCTTTGTATTCAAAGCGCTCCTGCAGGACAGCATAGAACGGCCCCTGTGGGGTTCCGAAACAGTGACTCTTTACAGGACTAATGTCTCCTCTTCCTCCTGTGGAGGGGCTGCTGGTTTCCAACTGCTGACCTTGTGGTTAGCAGCCCTATAAAATAACATTAAAATAGAAAATAAAATGCCTATCAAATATCATAGCTAAGTGTTCATAATATGGAGAGTAAAAACTATCGCATTTTTAAGCATTTTTCTTCAAATAATAATTTTTATTTCAAGCAGGGTTTCTATGTGAAAGGTAACTTTTTAATTTCAGGCTTTCTGTAACCTTTGAAGATAGTGATTAAACTTCTACTGCTTGTGGTAATGAATAGCTATGGGCTGTCTGGAGATCTAGGTAGGAACTAAATAACTTGGCATACACTGGATGCTTCAGGCCAAATTTCTTAAAGGTTTTGAAAGAAATGTGCTTTTTGTCTGGACCGGCTATTTCATGAAAGAGTTTGGAAACGTCCAGGTCCGGCACTCCAAACGCTGCCTGAAGTATAGTCGTTAACTCCTGTTCGCTTATGAAGCCGTCCTTATCGAGATCGAAAAGCATAAAGGACACCTGCAGAATCTTCTCCGTGTTGTCAGGGTTGCATAGGATAGTCAGGCCAATCACGTACTCTCGGAAGTCTATGCTGCCATCCTGGTTTCTGTCAAAGAGAGCAAAAAGCTTTCTCAGCGGCATCGAAACTGGAAGTTTCAAGAAGGTTGCAAACTCTTCGATCCCTATCTTTCCTCCTTTGGAGGCGACTGCAATGGCCGCATAGTCATCCAAATGCTGCTGGATACTATCCCAGTCTAACTTCAGTGTCTGACTAAGTTTCGTAAATTCCACCAGCCCGGCTTCCATGGGTAGCCGCAGGTGACCTGCCGAGATCATCAGTTTGCAGTCTTCATACGTGTGGTCTGTGACCGGCAAGCCCAAGGCATTGGCCATGCTGATCCGAACTGTATTGGCAAACAGGATGGGGTCTTGTTTTTCGTCATCGCTCGGGGTATACACAGGCATAAATTCAATGGTCATCCGGGTGAAGGCCTGACTCAGCGTCAACAGCACGATCTGGAATGCTGAAAACCCCTTCCAGGTCCAGGTGACCGTGTCCAAGGTGTTCGGGTACCTGAGCAGGACCGGCTGCACGGGCACCCCGGGCAAGAAGGCCCCCAGCTTGAAGGTGACCAGGCAGGAGCCGTTCGTGCACACGCCTTCCGGGAAGATCATGATCTGCCGCCAGCGCCTTCCGGATCTCACGCGCCTCAGGATTTCATTCCGGGTGTTCTTCCTGGAAGCGGGGTCGTTGCGCCTCACGAGGATGGGCTCGGTTGACTGGATGACCTTCCTGAGCCCGGGGAAGGTCAGTTTCCGGTTCGCCAAGACCAGCGAAGGCAGCCCCGCAGCGACGCAGGCGATCACGTCGAAGAAGGTGGTGTGCGGCGCCACCACGAAGAGGCGGGCCTCGGCCCGCGTGGCCTTGGCCCCTCTCACGCGGACCACGAAGCCCAGCAGGCGGAACACAGCCTGTAACAGCAACCGGAGCGCTGGCTGGGTCAGTTGCCTCCTGCAGTTCGAGGCGGGCCTGGCCGGTTGGACAGGACGCCCAATGGTGGCTAGGATGACGAAGGGCCAGAGGAAGAGGAAGAGGATGAAGCAGCAGCACACCCGCACGGGCACCAACACGGCCCCCAAGAGCACGATGCGGACCCAGCGCCAGGCGCCGATGCGTGTATGTTGCCCAAAGGGGTTGGCCACGGCCGGTAGGTACAGCGACTTGCCCTTCTGCGAGGTTTCCTTGGACTCCCAGAGCTCTAATTGGGAGGCACAATCCGTCCCCTTCTCCTTGAGCACTGGGGGGTCCTTGGATTGGGAGCCATCGAATTTACTGCTCATGATGCTCCTGTGTTCAGGGGACAGCTCTCAACCTCCCTCCTCCTGGCCCCCCTTCTTTTTCTGTTCGAATGAACGTAATTAGAACTCGGAGACAATTGCACGTCGTCAGGAAATAGTGTATTACTTTTAAAATGGTTGGGCGGGAACTGGGGGGGAGGGGAAGTAAAAAATGTCAAATAAGGTAATAGAAGGAGAATCCTTTGAACAGGAACATGATGGGGTACCCCTGCCCCCCCTCCCACACACACAACAAACATCCTGCTTGTGACAACCACGCAAAGCAGAAACAGACCCCACACCTTTCTTTCAAGGCACCTCTGATTGGGTTCAAACTACCAACCTTTAGGTTACTAGTTCAGCGCTTAATCCTTTGCATCATCCAAGGAATAGCTGATTATTAATTGCACCTATTAATTGCACCTTAAAAAAAAACCTTAAATGCCAGTACCAGTGAAGTGTGCCTACTTTTTCTTTAACCCTAAGAAGTGTACCTGAGCTATCCTCCAGTCTGCATACCTGTTACAAACATTTTTCCAGTCATTGGGAAAATTAAGAGTGTATTCATTAAATAGGACAGAATTGGCTACGGCATCTTAGTTTATATTCTTCACCCGAGTCCACAGGAATCAGGCAGCCTCCTGGACTGACAAATTAACAACACCAAACCTTAAAATCACTTTTGCCAGGAGCAGGTTTTAGTTAAAATAAGTCAGAATGACTTTGAGTGACGTGATCAGGAGGGAGACGCTCAAAGTTAGTGTGTGCCAAGAGTTCTTCTAGAGCGTGTAGCATTTGCAACTTCAATGATGCTGTGTTGAATATTACCAACTGCAACTTTAAATTCATGTTCCAAGACTTAAAAGTCAAATTTTAAGTTCCCCCTCACACGCCCACACACATGATTTTTGGAGCATCCCAAGCTACCAATAAAATACAGAGTAGTGTGGATTCTGAAACCTGTTGGACAGGACATGGTCTAATTGGAAGGATCAGAGGGGTTACAACCACATTTCTCTGCA